TGTAACAACCCAATCTGAGTGTTCCATTGCATTCTTAATTGTTTTTGGTTCAATTTTAGAGATGAAAACATTAAACATGCAAAAAAATTTATGAGTATTCAGTACCTCATTCTGTGCACGAATTTGAGGTCTTGTCATCACTCCTTCTTGTGGATTCCCAATCACGTGATCCTTCGAATGGTCTCTAGTCCATTTCTCCTTGGGTGGATATGCTGGATCAAATTCCAAAGGAGAATCTTCGAATATTTCATCATATTCTGAGCCTACATTCGAACATGCATCATCAACATTATGCTCCCCCTCAGCAACATGCTCCCCCTCAATTTCAACATTCAATTGTTCTTACTCCCCTTCGAAAGAATGCTCTTCATCATTCAAAGTTTTCGAATCCAATTGCTCCCTCTCCAAAGGACTATCATTCACAGTTTCTCCTTCTTGAGGAGTCGATGATGATTCATCAGTAAGTTTTGAAAGTTCTGGAATGTGAATATCAGGAGCATGAACTTCAGCATCAACTACATGATCTGAGATGCCAAAAATCAAATCATAATCAGTATCATCCATTTGTATAGATTCAGTTTCAATTTGTGTTTCTTGTAAAATTAGATGATTCGAAAATTGATGTTCATTTGATTTAACATAATAATCATCGAATGTGAGATTGAACGTTTCTTCCACTTTTCATGTGCACTTATTTAACACTCGATAAGCCACTGATTTGTGCAAATATCCAAGTAAAATCCCTTCATCAGCTTTTGCTTGAAATTTCGAAAGGTGATCCTTGAGATTCATAATAAAGCACCTACATTCGAAAACATGAAAGAACTTCACATTAGGTTTTCGATTATTTAGAATTTCGTATGGTGTAATATTAAATCTATGATGAATGAACGATCTGTTTTGTAAAACATGCAGTTGCAACAGCTTCAGCCCATAGATATTGAGGTAAATTCGCATATGCCAACATGGTTCTTGCCGCTTCGCATAATGAGCGATTTCTTCGTTCTAGAACACCATTTTGTTGTGGTGTGTATGGAGATGAGAAATTATGCGAAATTCCTTTGTCCACTTAAAAGGAATCAATAATTTTGTTTTTGAATTCAGTTCCATGGTCACTCTTGATTTTTCGAACAGGCTTTTTCAATGTGGTTTCCATATTTTTGATAAAATCAATCATAATTTGTGCAACTTCAAATTTGATCCTAAGAAAATAAACCCACGTGAATCTTGAAAAGTCATCAACAATAACTAAAATGTACCGTTTATTGTTGAGAGTTGATACAGTCGAAGGACCACACAAATCGATATGTAATAACTCCAGAGGTGCAACAATCTTTGAATCAATTGTGATTGGATGACCTTGTTTATGTTGATTTCCAACTTCACAAGCTACACATAAAGAATCATTATCAAATTTAAGTACAAGTAAACATCTTACCAGATCTTGTACCACAAGTTTGTTTATGTTTCGAAAGTTAAGATGTGAAAGTCTTCGATGCCATAACCAACTCAAATCAGATGTAGCTTTCAAAAGTAAACATATTGCTGGTTTGCCTACAATTGGATTGATGTCCAAAGTAAACATCTCACCTTTCCTTTTATATTTCAGTAATATTTCGTTTGTGTTAACATTCGAAATAACACTTCCTTCTTCGTTGAAAAGAACTTGATTGCCAGTTCCCACAACAAGTTGAGAAACACTTATCAAGTTATGTTGAAGACCTTCAACATATTCAACACGATTCACTGTGAATTGTCCATTTGTGATTTTTCCATATCATTTGACTTGACATTTTTTATTGTTCCCAAACTTTACTACTCCAACATTTTTGAGACTTCGAAAATCTCTTAAGTTCTCCTTCTTTCCAGTCATGTGACGAGAGCAACCACTATCGATGTACCATTTGTTATCATATTGCTCGTCACATAAAACCTGCAATCAATGAAAGATTTTAGGTACCCAAGGCTTTTTGGGTCCTTGGAAATTAGATTTCAATTTAGAATGAAATGAAGAACTTTTAACCCAATCACAAACTTTGGTTTTGAGACTATCAATTAAGTTCACTTCATCATCTAAAGGAACTGAAACATAAGAATTTGATAGTTCCGAATGTTCATTGACTTTTCCCTTCGCATCTTGAGTTTGTGATTGAACTGTCTTCGCTTTTGAGATAGGTCTCCATGCTTTTACTGAGGTATTCGAATCCTTAGATGACGAGCTGCCATTCGAAGAAGTATTGACATATTTTTCGTATGCTTCATTAATTTGCTCTTTTGAATACTTATTCGACTGATATATTTTTCCTTTTCCTTCAAGCCAATGATCAATGTTTTTCCTTGAAGTTATTCCTTTTTCCCGAGATGTCCTCATTGTTTCTTTCTTTGTGTAATTAGGAAAATTTGGCTTTTGAGGAACAAAATCAACTTTGGGTTTGGCAACATAAGAATAAGCATAGGATGTATCAACTTTTGATTTGAAATCTTGACGTTGAAAAACTTTTTGATTTGGATTAGGTCTTTTTGAAAAATCTCTTGTTTTGTTAGTCTCTGAGACTTTCGAAGACTTTGGTTGCTTATTTACTTCAGACCTTGTTATATTTGATCGTTGGGTTTTTGAAAAAGAAGCATTTTTAGTTTTGAAAACATTTTTGGTTGATTGTGATTCAGACATCTTTTGAGACTCAATATTTTGCCAAAACATTTTCTTTCTTGCTTGTCTTTTTGAAATGTTGTTTTCCTTCGAAAATTTGTCAATTTTATCTTTTAATTCCTTTGAGTTTAATTTGACAACTTTTTCTTTTTCCTTTTCAACATGTATCTTTGTCTCTTTTTCAATTTTTGATTTTTCAACCCATTGTTTTTGTGGTTTTTGTCTTTGAAAAATATACGAATTCTTTGTTAAGGTGTTTTCAACGGTGTTTTGATTTGCGAAAAAACCTTCCTCAGTTGTTTTTGAGTTGTCTTCCTCAACCATCTTCTTTAACTCTGGTTTGATATTCTCAACATTGCCTGTAGTTACGAAGACTTGATTTGGAAAAATGACATCATCTGTGCACTTGAAATTTGGAAAGACCACCGTGTTTGTTTCAAGATAATGTGGACCTTTTTCATTCATCACTTCTTCAAACTTTTTTGTATCACCATACACTTGGTCAACTATGATTCGTGGAATTTCCTCTTCCTTTGAGGATACCTTTTCTTTCGAAACTTTCTCAACATCTTCATCATCACTATCATCAGTTTGACAATCTTTGAGATCCACGAAGTTCATTTCACCAACTTTCGAAGTTGAGGGTATATCAGTTTCATACTCAACTATCAAATCCTTAACTTTTTCTTTCCCTTTAGAATTCGAAGCAACATTAATAACAGTCAACTGAGTACAATCAACATCTCCAAGCTCACTAATTTCACTAATATTGTCAGAATCATCTTCAATATCAGCAAAATTAGATTGAGAATCAGATGTTGAATTCTCAGTCTTTTTCAAAATGTGAATTTGTTCAGATTTAGTCAAAGTATCATTTACAATGTTAACTAAATCATTCGAATCAAGACATTCATCGAATTTGACAATTCCATATCTATACTTGTCATTTGGATCCTTGTCAAAATCAGCTATCTCTTTTTCACAATCATACGAATTGTTATCTACCTTAGCTCTTTCAAGAGCTAAAAATGGCAGCAATTTCCTATGTTGTTCTTTACTGATTTCACACGAATGATGAAGTTCAGTTATTTTTCCATATAATCTCTTAGAAACATTATAGTAGATGTTTCTTTGTGCTAATAACAATTTATTATCTCTTGATAAATTGTCCCTATCTACCATGATATTCGTTATTTGGAGTTCTAGACAATCTATCCTAGATATTTTCGAATCTAACTTCTTCTGGGTCTCTAGCAATTGCATTGATAGCTTCTTAGCCTCATAGCTAGCAGATACCACAATTGAATCAAAATAAGTAACAGTTTCATCACACTACTAGAAAAAACAGCCTTTTACGACGCTCATTGCGCGTCGTAAAAGGCTCAGACGACGCGCAAATGCGCGTCAAGGAAGGCCCTGTCATAAAGAGAGACGACGCGCTTTTGCGCGTCGTCTATAGACGACGTGCATTTACGACGCGCAATTACGAAGCGCGTTTACGACACGCAATGCGTATCAAGGAAGGCGTTGTCATAAAGGAAGACGACACACATTCGCGTGTCATAACCTTATGACGCTCGTGTTAATGACACACAATGCGTATCAAGAAAGCCCCTGTCAAGAAAGGCCATGTCATAAATGAAGATGACACACATTTTTGCGTATCATAATTTTAAATGTTTTAAAATAATATTATTTATAGATTTACTAATTTTCAAATTAAATAATACATTAAAAATCTCATAATACAAAATAAAATACCATAAATAACAAAGATAATTTATATACAATTGCATTATCTAGCTTACTATGTGCCAACAACTCTCTGTATGTTTACTTTTGCTTGAGTCTCATTTCCTCCAAAGCTTCTAGCCATGCAAAAATATGATATCTTAAGTTCATCAAGTCCTTGGCGTGAAGTCTTAGAAAGAAGATTAACTGCAATCTCCAATCCTTCTAGCAGACTCTAATGATCATTATTGGTCATGTAGCAAGATCAACATGCAATCTCTTTTCTGCCTTCTTATTACTTGCAACATCTTCTGCCTGTTTGACCAAGGTTGTGCCTTCAACAGCAACATGTTGCATTGCATCAAAAAGATAAAAATAGATGACAACAAATACAAATAACTGCATTCTACTTTTAAAAAAAAAAAAATCCAACTCCTAAATCACAAACCTATTTAAACATACTAGAGATAGGATCCAATCCATGGGGTATTTTTGGAAAATCGTCTGAACATTCTTGACAAATCATCAACCTGCAAGTGAAGGGTAGAAAGGGAAGAAACAAATGTTCACAACCAGTAAGAAATCTAAACACAAGAAGTTTCATAGTGATTGTTGATTCCTATAAACTCAAATGTGAGATGATAGCAATACTTGACCTCTGAAAACAAATAAACATAGCAATACTTGTCTCTGCAGTTTCACGGATCATGATCCCACTCACTCCGGTGAAACCAGCCATTTTGCATCGTGCAACTGCGAAAAGTGAAAAATTTTAACACAAAAAAATTATAGTGATGAAATATATAAGAAAATTATATACAAATAGATACAGGGTGCAGTGAGTTTTAACCTAGAATAAGTGCCCCATGTAGATCTGCACCAACAAGGCATTAAGCCATTTGACCTTTCCTGATAATAATTCCAACAAAATTTAAATAGAAAAAAAAATTGTTTCACCATTTTGAGAGTTAACAATCTATTCAATTATTTCTTCTCTTGTGAAAATAGTTATACATTCGAATACTTTTTTGAACATCATACATTTGATATATAAGTAACTTGAAAGGAAAGGCACAAAATGAAGCAAAACAAAGAATGTGAATTACCAGGTGGGTATAGATAGGGGTCAACAGTGTTATAGTTATACAAAAAGGAAAAGGGACTTTGTGCATTCCGAGGAATAAAGGGAATGGGGTTGCTACTACTCCACTCCATTTGATCGACCCTCTTCATGGTTAACAGTATCTACCTTTCACAAGCTAGTTGAGTTTAACCTATTTGTACCTGGGATATAATAGGGTACAAAAATATGGGATTCAGGGGGTCACAATCTGGTCCCCAATATGTGACTTCTAAAGGTTTCAGCTTCTGGATGTAGAGCTTCTTTTAGCCATCGATTATTGATGTAACAGCAGTTAAAGGAACCTGATAATGCATAAATAATATGAGATGAAAACATAATATTTAAAACATAGCTGATAAGTTTACAAGATGTATGTACTATGTATATGTATACTCACATATTAGTCAAGTTTGTAAGTTTTCCAAGTCCAACAGGCAGTGGGCCAGATAATTCATTTGAAGCCAGAATGCTGGGAAATGGAAATACAAAATTTTATATGAATATAGATCAAAGTTTATAATTTCAATCTATTATTTTTCCTTCTTAGGGTTTTAAGAAGAAGTGTACAAGGGTAAAAAGGTGAAAAGAAAAGTTATTAGTTATTACAGTTTCTACACATTTTTCATGTTGACAATCTCTTGGGGTATGGATCCTGAAAAGCGATTTCCTTCCATGCTCCTAAAAAATGTTGAAGAAATAATCAAAGTGATGTTTTTCTTTCTATTTATTGTATTGTAACAAAATAAGAACGGGTGATGTTGTCTACAGATTTACAAGGGTAGTTATTCTGCTGAGAACTCTTGGAAATGGGCCGGATAATTTGTTTACCATGAGAGAGCTGCATATAATCATGGTTTATTATTATAAGATTAAGACGTTTTATTAAAGTAAAATAATTATTTTTCACAAGTAAAAAAATTGGGTGGTTCAGAAATCATACAGGTCAACCAAACGCATAGTAGCCCATTGGGGGAGGTAAAGTTCCATTGAGGTAGTTACGAATGAGATCCCTGGATTAATTAATCACAATTATAATTATTTTATTATTATCATTTCATAAGCATAAAAGTCTTAACTTTTATTGATTAATAATGTCTCAAATCAGGTCTTGAGATTCCAATGACTTACCATAGACGACCGGGACAAGTTTTGATTGAATCAAGGTGTTACCCCATTCGATTGGCCCTCCATTAGCTAGCAACCACCATGTTGTTAAAACATGTCTTGGTTCGCCTTGTCTTATCAATTCTGGAAGAGGACTTATGATTTATTAAAATCCACACAACATCCATTACCATTGCCTCTCCAATCTAGCTTAATTCCCACCATGTAACCCCGCAAAATCCTTTTTTTCTTAAAAATATTCACTGCTAAAAAACAATAGTTATAAGAGATGTTGAACCTTTGTTAAACTATCGTTTTGTCATAAGTGGAGAAGATTGAGTGCCAGCCACATACGATCATATTGGTGTCTATGGTCAAGAGTCATGTATACATCGAATTTTGCTCTTTTAACTACACAACTAATTAAAGATGTGGATCTGTTTCGTTCATTTGTACCATCAAAATTGAGATTTTTCCCTTTTTTCTAGTTGCACTACACAAAAAATAATAGGTGCATCATGTTCAATTAGATAAAAAAATTTTAGAAAATCAAAATTGTATTTAAAAATCACAAGAAGATAGGGATGGATCAATACGTGAAATCCAACTTCCAACAGGCTGAAACCTTGGACCCAATCCTTGCAAAAGCTGATCAGATTCTTCCATGAGCTGTTTCTCACCAGGTAGCTGAAATCGAACCCTGGTTCTTTAACCCACTCCTTGAATCAAAGGTGGCTCTAGCTCAGCTGTTGTTCTTGTTTGAACACCATTATCTTCAGATTTTGTAGATGAACTCATTGGTTCATCAACAGATGCATCATATGGTTTTACAAAGAAGTAAGGACACTTGTAGTCTGTTCCTCTGTACAGTATGATAATGCTTCCAGATCTTTAGACAACTAAACCCCCGGTCTTTCTCTGAGAAAAAAGCCCCAATGTTGATCATTATGACAAAAAAATAAAGATTCAAAGTCAACAAAAACTAAAGCATTTGAGTTGATTTTGAATTTTGGACCAGTTGTTTGGAAGGAGGGAGTATTCATTTGTGTTTGTGAACAATAATTTTATACTACAGGAGAATAGACATTGTTTATCTAACGTCAAGAAAAAAGCCCCAAGAAGAAGAAGAATATGACCTGTGAGGTTCAAGAAAACCCCATCCGTTTACCTTCAGTCACCGAAGACCACCACAACTTCATTCTTCTTCTTCCTTTGATCTATCTAAACCCCAGAGGTCCTCCCCATCGTTCTCAACGACCACTGGAGATGGAGTAGCATCCGGCAAGACCAAGAGGCTCCCACTATTTTCATCGATCAGACCTCCACCCAAACCTTTCCCCCCTCCATTTATTTCATCAAAATCAGACAAGAACCTGACTCGTTTACCCCGATTTTTACCGATGATGGAGTCTAAGAAGCCAAGGAAGGCTCACCGGGAACTGATAATTTCCTCCTCCTCCTCACGAATAGATCGATCGTCCCGATCTACCAATCGCTACCTGCCCTGCTCCATCGGACTAGTTGAGTCCCCTCCCTACGTGTAATATGTTGGCGACAAGGAAGAACAGCCAAGGAGACCACCGGAGCGCCCCCTAGCTGCGGCAGACAAGAGAACCGTTGCTGCTTCTCCCTTTTCCTTTCGTCAAATCGATCCCGCACCAGAGGTGCTTCCCCTTTCTCGATTGATTGCCATCATCGAGCCACCATGGCTGCTTGCGTTCCTATCTTCCTTGCTCGATAGATGAACCACGACCACCAGACCAAAACTCCCGCTACCTTCGTCATTCTAATTCCCTCTTTTTGATTTATCTGTGGGGAATAAGAAACAAACGAGAATCAAGATTTGCATTCTTAATATTGAGACTTGAGAGTATAATACTGAATTAGGGATTTTTCTGACAATTTCAACATCGAGTGGGAGATATGGTGGTTACTGTGGGTAGAAGTAAATGAGCCTTGACGGGGAAGAATCGGTGGCGGCGGTCGGAGTGCAAGGGAAAGAAGCAAGCAACACTCGATGTAGGGAGGCAGAGGAAGACCGAAGAAGATTTTTGTGGTCAAAGAACACACCCAGAGCTAAAGAGGGGAAACAAGGAAGGAAGGCGGGTTTGCTATTTTTTTTTTAATTTCCTTTTTCCCGCTGCTAGTTGCTGAAGAGTGCGTTTCTAAAATTATAAAGCGGCATTTCTAGTTGACACGCCTTTAACATAAGCGCCTCCGTGTTTTTTTTTATTTTTGGCGAGACACTAATTCTAGGGCACGCAAAAATGCGCATCCAAAATTCTTTAAATTTCTAAAGATCTGACATTATTTTTAGGGCACACCCTTTTGCGTATCACTAATCAGTGCATGTCGTAAAAAGCGCGTCGTTAAAGGTCTATTTTCTAGTAGTGTCAAAAGATACTAATTCAGAATTATAAGCATGTACTAGAATATTAAAAGATTCAAGAATGTTTCGTACCTTTGTTGTCATTGGTGATTTGTCAGCAGCCTTTGATACGAAGCATTTTCCACACACTTCGTATGTTTCCTCCTCTGAATCCTCCTCCATCTTTGCAAACATGGCTCCATGGGTTGGATTACGCATTTCTTCATCATCTTATCCAGATGACCAGATTTGATATGTACCATTTTCCTCCTCATCAGTACCCTTTGCAACTAGAGACAAATTCTTAGCTTTCGTACGAACCTCCTCTAACTTTTCAGCGTAGTATGCCTCATCTTTCACCTTCATCTTCCTTTCATCTTTCTTCTGAAGCATACAGTCATTTGCAAGGTGATTCGCACCATTGCAATAATGACAGTGAATCCCAGTATCTCCTTTCAGCTTCTTCTCACTCTTTCCTTCAAGAGCCTTCAAATCTATCTTCTCTTCCTTCTTCTTCTCTTCACTCTTCTTCTCTTCCCCAACATTTTTAATTAGAAAGTTCCCTTTTATCTCATACGACTTTGCCTTCGGATTGAAAGTCTTTTTAAAGAACTATTTCACCCAATTGTTTGAGTAAAAGGCAATTGCTTCATCATCAGAGTTCATGATGAACCCTTCATCTTCATCCGAAGCATCTTTCTCAGCATCTTTCTCAGAAATCTATGACATTAAAGCTAGTGGACCTCCCAACATAGCCTTGATTCTTCAGCTATTTCATTCACTTCGCCTTCATGAGTTTTAAGCTGGTTGTACAAGTCATTCAATGTAGATGTGTCAAAGCTTTGTTGGTTCTTCACCATTATGCTCACGCTCCGCCATTCCTTTCGAAGTCCCATGACAAATATCAGATTGAATTCCATTGCAGATCTGGTGATCCCATATCGATTGCATCGATATATCCAATCATTCAGACGATCGTAATATACTTCAATTGATTCACCATCTTTCTGTCTGAAGTCCTTCAGCTCAACTAAGCATTGTTTGACAAAATTAACCTTCATCTTCTCACTTCCCTAAAACCTTTCCTTGAGATTATTCCAGATTTCTTTTGCAGTTTTACAACTCCTCACGTAGTTGTAAACAACTAGAGGCAAAGCTCCTCTTAGCACTCTCATACATCTTTTCTCCAGCTTTTTCAGATGATCAAGTTGATTTTCAACTTTAGAGTTTCCAGAGGAAGAACCAAGTGGTTGAACATTCGATGGTGGATTGAGTTTGCCAGAAATGCAATTCCACAGTTCTTCATCCAATCCATTAAGATAATCCTACATACGATCAGCCCACTGATCGTAATACTCAGGGATGAGCATAGGAATTTTGGTGGAAGATCCTAGAATATGAGAATAATGAAGTCATTGAATTCAGATTGAAGGACGTCATTTTTGTACGGAAGAAATCCTTGAGATTTTTAGAAGAAACTATGAGAATTTGACAACAAAATGTATGATTCAGATCACAATCACTCTTATAACACTCGATTCAATGAATTAAGTGCAGAATCTAATCACAATCTTAGATCTAAATAATTTTTCACTTCCAAAAAGTGCAGAAACTTTTGAATCAAAAAGTTGATTCAAAAACCTTTTGAATAGAGTGAAAATCAGATCAGAGATGTGATTCCTGCTCTGATACCAATTGATGAATCAAAAGAATCGAGTTTAGAATGAGTTGTAGTGTGAATTCAAAGTAAGTATGCGAGATTTGAACACTGATGTAAATATGATATTTTTGGCTCTATTATGTTTTTCAAAGTTTACAGAGTACAATGAATATTCTGTAAAGACTTCGTTACTAAGACACTAGTAACTTCTCCTATTTATAGGAGAGGAAAGCATACAAAAAAATATACTAAGGACTAAAACATTATGCTTCGAATATTATGCCCTAGTAAAATAAAATTACAGAAATGTTCGAAGACCCTAAATACAAACTTTGACAATTACAACACTGCGACCCTAACACGGCCCGAAACTCGAATTTTAGATCGAGCAGTTTTTCGTCTATGCGACCTAAATGAGACTTGAAGATCTCATTAATAGGAACTCAATGATAAAACGACAAACGAAATCGGAGTCCGTATGAAGGAGTTACGAATTCTTTGCAGTCATTTAACAGTCTAATCTCCTCCTACTATTAAATTTAAGATAGGTCTAGAATTAGCCGACGGAGTCTAAACGGAAGTTGTATATCTTGTTTTTACCTACGCTTGGAAAAAAATAACATCGAAAATGGAGCTCGTATGCGAAAGTTATGAATTTTTTAAAATCAGTTGATTTCCACCCTGTGTGATGCCACGTGTCAGCACCATGTTGTGCCTGGCTGTCTCTAGCGGGTCACGATGTGAAATGGCCTCCAACCCCTATAAATAGAAGTGTCGGGTGAAACCAAATCCTCACACCATCGAATTCTAGTTTCTGTCTATAAAACTTCTCTCTAGCTCCCCTTAAGCCCCCTAACATCTAGGTAAACCCCCTAACACTCGAATGAAGCCCTGAGGCTCCCGGAGTCTCAAGAAAAGAGCCTTTTATCTCGGGAACGCTGCTCCAGCGAAGCCCAGTTTTCGAGAAAACCCGGTGTAAGTGAGCTACGCCTAACCTATCTTTAGTATAGCTTATGTTCTAATATAGTAATGTTATTAGGAACTTATAATAAGTACTTGGGCTATTATTATGGGTTATATAAGTATTGTTTAGTGCTTATATAATAGTAATAATAGCTAGACTATTAATTAGTCTCGGTGAATATTAGACTAAACTCTAGTAGTAATGATACTAGGTTTTGCCCGAGGAAAATTTTGTTAAGAGTAACGAAGTGTTGTCCGAGTGCCGAGTCACCACCTTCTCTAGTGAGTGCATGTTCCCTTTCATATTACACATAAATATGAAGTATTTAATATAAACTACATGCTATGTGTGCATATTATTTGTAAAATTGCTATCCATGCTGGATGAATGATTTTATACAAGTTTTATATGATTTAAACTTTATATGTATTTATATCTACATAATATGTTGGGTAAAACATGGGTAGATGAAATATGAGTTGGATGATGAGTTGAGAGGTGATATAGACCATGAGGTAAGGATGATAACCACAGACTATTCTAGATAGTCCAGTGGAACACTAGCAGGCTCGCAACCTGTAGGAGTTGTGAACGATGTGTTCACCGGTGTACTCTAAAAAACCAATTGACATGTATTGCGAGTGGACTCTCGAAAATGATACTGTTAATAAACGAGATAACCCTAGCAGTTGTGCTCGAAGGACAATACTAGCAGCTGCGCCTCATATAGAATGTCACAATTTTGGCAGTTGTGCCTAAGTGATAGAACTAGCAGCTATGCTTGCCAGCTGTGTCATTGACAATGA